CCCCCCCCCCCCCCCCCATCTGAATTTCCCAGAGACTGGAAATCCCAGTTTCTGCCCAGTTCTAGCTGGTGCTGGTGCTGTGGCTTGGCACAGCCACCGAGACACCTATTGACTTTGGCAGGCTTTAGGCCAGGGCTTGAGTGATTAAGGAGCCCTTGCATCACTCGCTCAGCAGTTCTTGCCTCCTTTTTAAACTAGAAAATGCCCCTCCCCGGGCAGGTTTGACCAAAAACACCTAAGTGGCTTGCAAAAGGATTTGTGCTTCCAAATCGCTTGGGTGGTGGTGAAAAGCCCATTTCTTGCATCAAGGTGGCATGGATAAACCTGAAGATGCCACCTTCCTTCTGTCCCTTTGTGTGCACTCATCACAATAGAGTCTTTAATTACTTGGTCACATGCTCTTCCTAAACTATCGTGCCATTTTTTTTTCCCCCTATGCAAGCCAGGGAGATGCCTCTTGAATGAGAATGAATCATTGTGTCTGGTTTAGTCTAGTACAGGCTAGACATCGGCATAATTTGAAAGCGCTCTCATTTGACACATCCTCTCTCGCCACCCTCTTGCTTGTCTTATGACTTGCCCCAAGCATTTCAAGCTGTTTAGGGCTAAAGCTGCGACTAGACCCGTACAGCACCAAGCAGAGCTTCAGTGGCATCGAGGTTGCTGGATGCTAGTCTGCACGAAATGAGCTTGGGCACTGTGCTGACCCGAGAGAGCCTGATGGTGGCCAGGAATGTGCAGCGTCAGGTCTGAGATGCAGAGCTGCACCGTGTCCGTACCGCTGTGCTGCCCCAGCTTGGCCTGTGGCCAGGTGCCCATTTCGGGACCCCTGAGCCCTAATTTCAAGCCTGCTGCAGCACGGCCAGTGTCCTGGAGGCAAGGGGAACAGGCTCCTCTTCCCGGGCTCGGCTGGGAATGAAAGAGCCACTGAGTCACTCTGGAGCTCTCCGTGTCGCAGCACCACGGGGCCCTGCCTGGCCACGGGGTCTCCGGCATCCCCTGTGGGCCTTGCCCCGAGTAGCAAAGAGCCCCTCCCGTCCCGTCCCGTCCCCAACCACAGGACAGGCGTAGCCTTGTCTGCGTTATCCACGCAGGCAAGTGCCAGCGAAGTGCAAGCACTGATGCATCGGTGTCCCCAAGCGGCCCCTGGTTCCTGGCATGAGAGAGGAGTCGATGCCACAAGCTTCCTCATCTTGTGCCTCCACCAGGCCTGGGCTGAGGCTGTCGGTGCTGCCGTCGGAGCAGGTGACAGCCCAGCCAGGCTGAACGCAGCTGGTTTAACCTGCCTGGCCCCAGTGCCCTGCTGCAAGCAAGCCCGGGTATGTCTGGGCCAGCGGCAGGCCATCCCGCTGGCAGCAAGAGCTGCGCCCAGAGGCGGGCCCGGGGTCTCGGCCCCCGTGGCAGGAAGCAGCCGGGCGCAGGAAGCGAGTACCCTC